TGTGCAGTGGGAAAAAATCCTTAGAATAACCCTTGCATCATTGTTTCTGTTGTTGATACAAGGTTGCCTTCAGAATCCGTAAGTTGGTAAATTTTATTTCTGCCTTTGGCTCTGTTCTTCCTAAGGACTTTCATGTTGAAATTTTGTGCCATACATTCTTTTATCATATTTGTGCTATGAATCCTGGTGTCCTTACGGATGGCCTTAATAACTGTTTTATTCATTTCTCTATATTGTGGTGGGCCTTTCTCTAGTTTACGTCTCTCGGACATTAGTTGTTTGTGTTTCTGGGGATATTTTAGGGTTTCTGGTGGTTTTCAATTTTGTTATGGTTTTCCTGGTAATGTTTATAATCTGCGATGTCGTGTGCTGTACCAGGTCATTGAATGAGGGTTGTTCTGTGTTTTGTGTGCTTGATAATCTTCTGTCTAGGTCTAGTTGATAACTGAAGATATTTGGGGGAAGGGGTAAGGTTTAGATGTTGATTTTTAACATGAATGAGTTTGGATCTTTCTACACTAAAATGTACTTACATTAAATCAGTCCATATAACTTCACTGAATTTAATTAGTTAAAATCTTTACTTGCTTATAGCACGCTCATACTTTCAGAACTTTAAGTTCAAAATTTTATTTTACTGATAAAATAGTTGCTCGTCACTTTAGTTTTACAAAATTGATCAAATTTTGAAATGATCTTAGGCCCAAGGCTGGGAAAACAGACTCTAAGTAAAATTGAACATCCGAAATCGTAAGGATTATTTCGATCTTATTACTTGATGAATTAGGTACTCTTTTTTTGTTGTTCTGTGTCTTGACAGCGCGATTTATATCTTTTATATTGTCATTTCCCACCTAATGTGGGGCGGTCATGTAGCATTTTACAAACCAATCCTATTGGTCGACCTAGATTATCGCCTTCTTGTTATTTTCTAGGAATTGTTTATTAAGTTTTCTATTGAGGATATGATGCAACATCTGGCGGAAACACCTGTGTTTCAGTTTATCAGTTATGACGCAATTAATCTTATGAGTGTAGTGATTTCCGGTTAACGCGATCTAATTTTTGGATTCTGCTTTCGGTGCTTTGACTTCCGGTCGCTTATCGCTTGTGTTTGATAATTTAAATTTTTGGATTTAGAAAACTCGTCAAAATTTTAGTTTACTGATTCCGAGGTCAAAGATCTTGGGATTTTTATCTATTTGGAATTTTCTTCTGACTGAATCAGATATTGAATTGATAGGAGATTTAACTAGTTTGAAATTGAAATTATCTCGAAAAGTGCGCACTTCTCTGATCCGCAGGTGGGACTAGTATGCTTGCGTCTGTATTCAGGCTGCGAATCGCTTTCCTTTTCTCGTATGTCAGATTACACTTTAGAGGTTTCACTAGTTGTGATTCTACGACTAGATGTTTCATTGCGTATTTCCTCCGCAGTGGTTTGGGGAAGGTAATGTTCGTATGCTGGCTTCCACATTTGCTATCATGTCTTTGAATGGCAGGTCTTTCGGTGTTATTGCACAATCGTCTCTTTTTCTTATTTTTGAAACAATCACCATATTACTATATCACTTGTCGAGTCAGAATCAAAGTTTATAATTAGAGGCTGCACTTTACTCATTGATTTTGATTTTTGGTTTCACCCTTTCGAGCCCATACTCTACACTGCAGCCTTTATAGGCTTTTTGTATGTCATTCGTATGGGTTCTAACTCCTTCTCATTCATACTTGCAGATCAGATGATTGGCGGCAGCGCGGGCGGGCTACCGTCCCGTACTACTGCGGTCACCCATCCAATCTGCAACCCGACAACGCGTTGCTTGGCTTTGAGTAGGGCGTCCTGTCGTCCTTTATCAAAGCGCCAACGTGCCGGTTCACTTTACTCATAAAAATTATTATGTTTTTTTTTCCTTGTAATATGCGGCACATTATGTAAAACACACGGATGAGGTAATTAGCTCATCCGTGTGTTTTACATAATGTGCCCATTGTTCTTTGGACACATTATCCAGCGCTTTCTGCCATGTCCCTAAGACATCTTTTTCAATAAGAATCATCTGGTCATGTCATAATACCGTTTGGCTTGACTCCATACCATTTCAATCGGATTAAACTGACAATGGTATGGAGGTAAGCGCAAAACCTGGTGACCCGCTTTCATAATGACATTGTCTACAACAAAGGACTTTTTCGTCTTGGAGACTTGTAGGATGCTGTTCCACAAGTTTGCTTTTGTAGAAGCTGGCTCGAAGGGGATAGCCTTGGCCTCCAACCACCTCTGCATTTCGTTTTTCTTCCAGTTCAGAACAGGCCACTTTTCAACTAGCCTGCTATGGTATGACGCATTATCCAAGACGATAATGGATGGTTCTTCTAGTTTGGGAAGAAGAACGTTCCGCAGCCAATTTTCAAAATTTTCGCTGTTCATCTCCCCATAGTAATCTCCTGAATTGGTTTTCGATTTGAAAATCAGGCAGGAATCATCGATAAAACCATCTTGTCCTCCCACATGTAAAATTATGAATCTGAAACACAATGTTGCATTATTCTAGTTAAATAATAACTAATATTTAAGAATTCCCTTAAAAATATTATGAATTTGACTGCATCCTCTTTAGCTTACAAAAATGAAATGTGTACTTTTTTTTCTCAAACTTCCTCATCTAATAGTGTCATGCCTGTTACCATCACCCTTAATTTTCTTTACGGAACGAATATCCTCATCCTGCCAAGACTTCCTTAGAGATCCATTTGAGAAAATCCATGTTTCATCAAGAAACACATATGGAAGCTTAGTAGGATCTAGGGCGTTGTCCATATATGACTTCAGGAAAACTCTTCTCATCAGGTTTTTCCATAAGGGCTCTTCTTGGATCATCCTTTCTAAAGGTAAATCCTAATGTGGTAGTACTGTAGCAACAGCAAATATTACTGATTCTAGTTAGTATATCTTGTTCAATTAGCTCTGAGACTTTCGTCAACAATAACACCGAGTGTATATTCTTATGGAATTTGCTGATGGCACCATTATAACGTTCTTAAAGGTAATTGAACAAAGTAAATTAGTATTAATATTTAACACTAAAAACATACTAAAATTACCCAGTCTAGTTTGTGAAATAGCTCAAACTTATAATTGAAGAAGAGAGAAGTATGCATTCTGTGCAATAATTTATTGAGAAAATCCGCTGAGTGCTTCCGGCCTTAAGTCATCACCAGTGCTGCCTCGTCGCAGGTACAAACTTCACACACAAGAGACAACGGACACAAGTAGACGTGCATAATTAAATTTAACTATTAATTAATCAATTACCTGTGTAGTAATGGTTTTTTACAAGAACTGCTAAATTATACAGAAAAGGAAGAGTGACAGATGGGACATTATCCCTCTAAATAATTTATACAAACATAATATTAGATGAGATGATACATTAAATAGGAACTTTAATTAGTGATACCATGTTACGAGGTACCAAAGTCCACTAGGAAATATGACAACACAAAATGCTAAACTTCTGAACAACAATAAACCCAACACACAAGATGAAGCATGCAGCAGAAGGTACAGAAGCTCTACAAATGTCTGAACCAAAACTGTGTAAAGGCATAACTTTTTTTCTATTATAGATAGAAAGCTGAAACTTTCACTGAACTCTATCCCAATCAAGGGACTGAAAATTTCAGCTCATTTACACTTATACTTCCTGAGATAAAATCGTATTAAGCAATTTGGGGTGATTTATCAATTTTTCAATTTTTCTGAGTGCCTTTTTTCATAGAGTTCGGCTTGAAATCTGAGAATAATTTAGTGTATGGAGTTTGGAGGATCACGAATGACTATTAGGACACAAAATCTCAACAAAAAAAAAAATCTTATGATTTAGATTTTGGAAAACTTTGGAAAGTCATAACTTTTTTTCTGTTAAAGATATACAGATTCTTGTTCCGGTAGACGACTACAATCTCTGAAAATTTCAACTCATTGGGACTTATAGTTTCTGAGATAAAATCGTGTTAAGCAATTTGGGGTTATTTATCAATATTTCAATTTTTCTGAGTGCCTTTTTTCATAGATTTCCTTCAAATCTGAGAATAATTTAGTGTATAGAAATTGGGGGATATTGATTGACCATTAGGATACAAAATCTCGACAAAAACAAAATCTAAATTTCATTGTTTTAGTAAGAAGGTATACCTACCTAATGATTTAGATTGTGGAAAACTTTGAAAGGTCATAACTTTTTTTCTATTAAAGATAGAAAGCTCTGAAATTTTAACTGAATCTTATCCCAATAAAAGGAATAGGTACAATCCCTGAGAATTTCAACTCATTTGGACTTATATATAGTTCCTGAGATAAAATCATGTTAAGCAATTTGGGGTGATTTATCAATTTTTCTGAGTGCCTTTTTTCATAGATTTCGGCTTCAAATCTCAGAATAATTTAGTGTATGGAGTTTAGGGGATCCCCAATAATCATTTAGACACAGAATCTCAACATAATCATTTTGTTTCAGTTCCACTCAAAGTTACGACCCATTCGAAATGGCTCAACGTCAGTTTATAGAACTTCTAGACAACGAGGAGCTACAAAATTTCGACTCGTCTCCTACTCGTCCCACACCTAATACCTTAAAGTCAAAATCAGCAAATTCAGCTAAAAAACGCGTTTCAGTTATAGAGCCTCCGTCCAATTTCAAAGACTCAGACTTAACCGATTTTGAGTTTATCGAAAACATGATTAATAGTGATTATTTGAATAATGATCGTAAATATAGTGACGATATGACTTGTTCGTCGATAGATCCAAGTTTGATTAATGAAAACGATAACTTATCGATTCCAGAGAATTTTAATTATTCACAAAACGATCTTTACAGCGAAGAGTTTGATAGCAAAATCGAACCAAAAGTCACTAAAAAGCGTTTAATGAAACGCTCAATATCTAATAATTCGAGTATATCTATTAGGACTAAAAACTGTAATAAAAATCTTTCTAGTGATAATAAGCAAGAAAAGAAAAAAAGTTTGCCAGTTTTAAAGCGTTCCATTACCCTTTTTGATCCCACTCCTAAACCATCCTTTAAAACAAAGCAAGAAGTTGACAATTTTTTCAATAATGGTAACGAGGCAAAAGAGAAAACAGAATCTGATGTTAAGATTGAAGAAATTGATGGGGTAAGTTGCAAATTCCTTCTGACTAATATTGTATTGTGACAATAGGAAATATGTTTTCTTCCTCCAAATTTTCAGGAAACTTCCCAGACAGACTTCACAGCTGAGGAATTATTCAACGTAGACGATGAACTGTACGAGGAATATAAAAAATACGAAGCCTTATACCTGCAAGACAAAGAACAACAAAAAGTAGACAGTAAAAAAACCCGAAACAAAAACATCGATTTGAATTACGGCCTTTTAACCAACAAAGAAATTCCAAAAAGTGAAGAAGAAGACCACAAAACAACAAACGATTCAGCGTACGGAAGGTACCACGTTTAAGCTTCAAATAAATCAACAAATCAATGTGTTTTTTTTTAGTTTGCGCAAACACCGCACCAGAGCCCCGAAACTTGCTCCATTGGAAAGTACTAGTTCCAGTGGATCAGAAACCGGAACGTCTTTGAAAATGTCCAAGTTTTGTTACGAGTGCGGCACCAAATTCCCTGTGGCTACTGCGAAATTTTGCGTCGAGTGCGGCGTTAAAAGGCTACTTTTGTGATAGGATTTTTTTTTTAGTGATTTAAGGCACACTTTTATCATATTTTTTACTTACCAAAGCTAATTATTATTGCGGACCAAAATGTGCAATGTTTTATTTTGTATTTATATTTTTTATTTGTTAAATTTTGTAAGAATAGAAGAGTGGCATTTTGTTTTTTAATTATTATTATTATTAATTAAGCTAACCATTCCAAGTAATTTTTTTCAGTTTTAGATTATTATATTAACAAAGACTGTTTAGCAAAATATAAAATAAACTTAATTTTTAAAGTGCAAAATTAATTATTAAGTATTAAAAAAAATTCTAGTTTCAATTTTTAATTCACTGCGTTACTATAGGAGTTGTATTGAAATTCCTGTTAAATTAACTTTTAAGGGTTCCTAAATAGTTATTTATGCAACAAGTGTGTAAAGTGAGTACTTTACGCACGGTAGTAGAAAAAAATACTTTCAGCCCTCACAGCAACTTTGAAGCTTTCAGGATATATTAATTAGAGTTTTTTCATAATACAAAACAAATTGGAAGTTGATATGGAGATATTATGGAGTTGCTAAAGCTTGAAAAATCTCACTCGAAGGGGTTCAGAGAAGCTTTAAAAATGACTCTTAAAGTCACTAAGAAAGTAGTTCCATTGTTCCAAAAGTTTCTGGAATGGTCTCCAATTGTATCCGAAATAACTCTCAAAAAACCTGAATCTTTTCCCTACTAGAAATTGTTCAGAGAAGATCTAGAACAACTTCAAAAGAGTTGAAAATGTTTAGACTAGATTTGAAAAGGTCTGGAGCAATTTTAAAAAATATGATGGTAGCAAAATTGTGATCATTGAAACTCACTCTCACACATTCTACACTTTTAAAATCACAAATCACTGAAAAAATATCTCAAACATTGCTTGAAAAGATCCAAAGTAGCTTTAAAAGTGTTTGAAGCAATTTATCCAAAATCACTCTTACTTGATCTATGGTCGTTTGCACCCACCATTTTAAGGAAGCCTTAGCGATAAGTATTCCTTAAAGTGATGTTTCTCCATGTAAAACTGTCATTTTGAGGAATACTTTAACGCTAAGGTTTCCTTAAAATGGTCGGTGCAAACGGCCACTAGACTTTTAAAATCACTGAGAAAGTAGCTCCAATCCAATGCTTCAAAATTTTCTCAAGTGATTTCCAATATATTTGAAGTCACTCTAAAGTCTCAACAGTTCTGAATTACTCTAATTGTGGAAAAACTTACTGAAAATAGTCCAGAGTAACTTCAAAAGTAACTAAATCCAGTTATGATCTATCCAAAGTCACTATTACTTGTTTTAGACTTGAAATTACCGGGAATGTAAATAGCTCCAATTCTTCAAAAAAATCTTGATAAGCGATTTCCAATGCATTTGAAATCCCACTGCAATCGTTGAGAAACTTACTGGAAATTGTCTAGAACAGCTTCAAAACTATCTGAATCATACTATAATCCATCCAAAGTCAGTCTTACTTGTTCCTAGGCCTCTAAAATCATTGAAAAAGTAGCTCCAATGTGTCAAAATTTTCTTGAGTGACTTCCAAGGCATTTGAAATCATTCTGGATGTGACCCAAAAATGACAGTTTTAGTGCAAAAAAATCTAAGAATATATTTAAATCTCATCTTGCTACGATGGTCCGTTTTCGAGTTGGAGCGGTTTAAAGTTACAACTTTGTGTTTGTGACGTCACACCGGAATAGTCAGGCACAGTGTTAACACGTGTAATTAAATATAAAAAAGTAATTTTCTTCAGGACGCGACAGCCCGCTCCCCCGCTACACCAGTACTCTTTCAAAACTTCCAGCATTTGTAGTTCTGATTAAGCTCTAAGGGCCGGCTTATCAATTAAAGGATAACTCCCAAAGTTTGCTTACTTTGGGTCACCTCTAACTCTGGGCTAACTCCTAAGTTTAGTAGGAGAGCGTTTATTCAAGCTTTTTCAACCCAGAGCTGGTAAACTCTTGGGTCTTTCGAAGGTTGGCATTACTTATGCAATGGAAAAGCGGAAATTTCAAAAAAAATCCAACGAAAATGACATTCTAAAGCCTACTTGATAAAACTAAAGTTTTCGTCACTTACCCCATTTAAAAACTGGAAATTTTTGGCAGAAAATGACGCAAATCCAAACCCCCGGAACGTTAAAACTACTTTTCCCGCTGGAGAAGTTCCGGAAAATTGGAAGAAAAACCGGGACAAAAACAAAGACGCATCACTCAAATTGGCCGACTGTCAAATGTCACTGTCAGTGTTTATAAATAACATTCCAAGGCCTACTCAATTGGAACCTGAGTGAAGTTGGCTACAAGCGGTGTTGGCCACCTAAAAAATTATTTTTTTTACTACTAACCTGAGAAATAGACATTATTCAATCTATTTTTCTAAGAAAAAATTTAATTTCTCTCCCTAGGTTAATAATGAAAATAATGAAAAAATACCTAGGTTAATAATAAAAATGACGTCATAACGCAAGGATATTGTCATGTTTCTATTGGTTCAATTTCAATTTCATACGTCAATTTGAAAAAAAAATGCAGGTTTCTGTAGGTACATAGGAAGTTATATAAGCTGTTAATAGAGGGCAGCACTTTCAAGAGGGCGTTCACAAAAAATAATTAGAACACAGATTTTAAACAAATTTTTTATTTTTTACTAGCAGTAGTAAAAAAAATTCTATATATTCCTCGGTAGAGAAAGTCATTATATACCTCAAGCATTATAAACCTCGACGCTGCGCGCCTCGGTTTATAAAAGCTTTCGGTATGTAATGACCAACTTCTCTACCTAGGTATATAATATACTATTTTTTACTACTAACCTCAGAAGTAGTCATTATTCAATCTATTTTTGTGGGTAAAAATTGAACTTCTCTCCCTAGGTTAATAATGAAAATAATGAAAAAAATCCTAGGTCACTAATGAAAATGACGTCCTGACGCAAGGATATTGTCATAACTTAACAGGTTTCTATCGGTTTAATTTCAATTTCAAACTGTCAATTTAAAAAAAAGCAGGTCCCTGGATGTACAGTTGCGATCAAAAAAAAGTAGTACAAGAAAAATCTCCAAAATCTCGGTCTATTATACATTAATTTAATTCATAACCAAAAATGACATATTTTTGGCATTTTTCGACAAGTTTTTAACCTAGAAAGTTTCAGTTGACATTATTTTGACATTTTTCCACTTGTTTTTAACCTAGAATATGTCATTGCCGGTCAAAATTATGTATGTTACACCAGGAGCTTGATCGCAACTGTACATTTCCGATAAGAAAAAATAATTTGAACACAGATTTCAAACTTATTTTTTATTTTCTACTAGCAATAGTAAAAAAAAATCTATATATTCCTCGGTAGAGAAAGTCATTATATAACTTACGCATTATAAACCTCGGCGCGAAGCGCCGAGGTTTAAAAAAGCGCTCGGTACCAACTTCTCTACCTAGGTATATAATGTACTATTAAATGGGTAATTTAATGGAAAAACCGTTAAATAATTAATTAATATGACTTAAAACTTAAAATTCCCCAGAAAAAAGATAATTTTTTGATACATTTTTCTCTCTCACTCTTCGTCCTCAATGTTATAATATTTAATGGCTGGAATTTTTGCAGAACATGAAAAAATCCAAAGCCCCGTACTTTAAATCAATTTTCCCGACTAAAAAGGCCCTGGAATAGCGGAAACTTCGAAGAAAACTGGTTAAAAACACGCGTAAAAAGTGGAAATAATTATTTACCTAACAAGTGCGGAAAGTGGTACTTTTCCGCACGAGACGGCAGTTGCACGAACGACGCGGAGCGCAGTTCGGGTAAGCCGTCGAGTCGAGGGTGGAAAAGACATTTTCGGTTTTTTAGGGTCACAATAATAAAAATTAGGGATAACAAACTATCGATAGGAAGATCGATACTATCGATAGTTTTTTAATTTTCGATAGTATCGATAGACCTGTACCAATATCGATAGTTCCAATGTAGCCAAAGGTAAATGAAAACATCTGTAATACATTGAGGGAATTATAAAGAAATCTGTAGTTTTTTTGAGAAATCTGTAATTATTTTTGGGGATAGACATGCTGTGCTGCCAATTTTTCGGTTAGGAGGAGTGACGAGTGACTTTGATGGACTTGATGGAGGTAGGAGGTTGATGTTTATCGTAATTAATTACAAATTTGGTTACTTTGGTCAGAGCAAACTATCGATAGTACAATCGATAGTTACTATCGATGGGTAGGCCATTCTATCGATATCACTATCGATAGTTTTTTTTTTTCGATAGTTTGTCAATCCTAATAAAAATATCCATCACCCACGCCACTGGATCGTTAGTAGAGGTGGGCCAACCTGCGATTTTGATGGAGCTGTGACAAGTCGTGACTGCTCCAGTCGTGTCACAGTGACAAATAGCAGTGATTTTTTGGAGCAATTTAACATTGGTTCTTGGATGCCCGTGCTGCTAATGTAAATACATAAATAATGCTACGATACATGGCATAATCGCAGTCCGCAGTCACGGCCGAGAGAGATGTTGAATGTTCCTGTTCCGCTACCAGATTTAATAGGAATGGAAGTGGTCGACGATTTTGTTTTTGAGTGGTTCCTATAATTCCTCTTATGCTATAAATAAGTAATTCTTGATAATACCTATTAAATTACAGATTGCAGTGTGTGATAAATAAAATGCGTAATGTTTGTTTCACGTGGGTTTGTACTTTTGACAACATTTGCCTTCCTTTTTTAAAAAATAAAATTTGACTGAAACAGATTGATTTTTGTATCGATATAAATACAGTTCGGTTTGGAATATCGATATCGATATTCCAAACCGAAAGGTATTTTTTTTGCTATAATAAAGCGCCATCTATTTATTGGTACCGTTGTTTCACGAATTAATATTTTCTTTTTCTTTCTACGTTCTGTCAAAGTTTACGGAATAGATATAAGTTGCTTCACTCATCATCGAACAATAGACCTATCTATTTTACCAGACAAAGAGGTAATAATACGAAAACTTCATTAGATAAAAAAAGACACAGAACGCTCATTGCGCAAGACGAGGCAAAAACGTACCAAATTATGTTAGACTTACGTATAGCAATCCGTCCTTCTTATTTGCACAGGGAAGGAGAAAGACCGCTGCTTGTTGTGCAACGTATTTGTCAATGAAAATTTCAAACAATTTTTAAATGTCACTTGTCAAGCTATGTCAAGTTGAATAACAACCATACTTTTATTCTTGTCTGACCACGAGTGATGAACAAAGACAACGAGATTCCCAGCGTGCAAAACGAATACTTCACACCTGTACTAGTTAACCAATGGAAAGGCATTGCCTCGTGTTGCGCGCGCATGCCAGGTAAAAATAGATAGGTCTATTGCTTGGGTCTATTGAAATATATAGATATCCCAACAAAGGCGTGCCGCCGTCGCCTGCGAAAGCTCGTAAATCACCGGCTCGATGTAGAAATACGAGGGACTTGGAAACGTTATTTGATACCGCGTGGAGATTATCAATAATTTAACGTACTTGTTTCTACAAATAACAATTAAAAGAAATAACATAGATATCAATTGCATTTTTAGAATGATTAATTCTACTGAACAATAAACTACAGGCATTATTAAAGGTATTATCAATTAAAATTAACAACTTTTTGAGCGCACTCTGCGACTCAGCACCGCCGCCAGGCTGCACGCAATTTCGATCGGGACGTAGGGGAGGGGTTCCTACCCATCTCGGGCGCTTCGAGAGTGACGGAACTATCTATTCTGTAAACTTTGGTTCTGTGAAGCCTTCTTGACATTTCAAGTTTAGAGCAGTAGTTTGGTATTTACGCTCATTAAAGTGAAACCGAGATTATTAGTACCTAGTTTTTTATTTACGCACCTTAAGAAATTACTCACTAATGAACAGAAAAAAAACTTCTTTTGTGTGGAATTTTTTTTTCACAAGAAAAGGATATGTTAGCAAAGTGTAATTTATGTAAGCAAACTGTAAGTTACAAAACATCAACGACAAAACTAAAAAAGCATTTGGCGCGAAAACACCCACTAGTAAAATTGAACTATGAAGATTCAACCACCCAAGGTACGAACGTCGTCAGCAACCAGATTCGAGCAGAAAACATAAATACAGCTAGACCAGGACCAAGCATATCGACTCCAAGCAACCTTCAATCAAACCAAGAAGCAGAAGATACTGAACCAGGACCTTCGACAAGTAATAATAGTAATATTAAACGAGAAACGTCTCAAACAAAATTGCCATTTATGCCAAAAACTATAAGTATTCATACGAAAAAAAAACTGGATAAATGTTTAATGGATCTGTTTACAGAAGATTTGCAACCTTTTAGCATCGTAGAAGATCGAGGATTCAAAAATTTTGTTCAAATGCTTAATCCATCATATCAATTGCCGATCAGATGTATCAAATACTATGTTACCAGCAACATACGAGGAAAAATATAGCGTTGTCGAAAAATTAGTCAAAAATCTTTGGCAGAGTGTTACATTAACAACTGATTGTTGGACCTCGAGAAACACTCAAAGTTTTATGGCTGTGACAATTCATTTTGTTACTGAGGACTTTCAACCAAAATCGGTTTTACTAGAATGTTGCTATTTTCCTGAGGTACACACTAGTACTAATTTAGCAACTGAACTAAATCGTGTTGTGACTATCTGGGGACTAGAATCTAAAATTCTTTTAGCTGTGTCAGACAACGCAGCCAATATTAAAAAGGCAATAAAAGAAGAACTGTCATGGAAACATCTTGGATGCTACGCTCATACCATAAACCTCATTGTACAGGATGGACTCAAAGTAGTTTCATCAATTGTCACTAAAGTGCGTATAGGTACATTGGTAGCACATTTTAAGAGAAGCACTAATGCTAATACTAAAATTAATGGATGTACAAAGGCAAGCTGGAAAGGATCCAAAAAAACTCATTCAAGATGTCGTAACAAGGTGGAACGTGGAACTCTACTGTTGTGTATATGGACCGTATGGACCGATATACAAGTTGGTGCTCACATTGTTAGATTACCAGTTAAATAGCATTGTCAATATATTTTGTCATTATAGTTACATTTAATAAATAGTATTCACACTAAAGTACTTCCTAATATAATATTTGGCGACGAGGTAATCGACCGAACCACAGGGCAGGGCAGATGGATAATACACAATTTGATACTTTGATGGAAACCCTTGCGAAATTATTACAACCCCAAAAAAATGATAATTCTATACGAGGAGAAAACATATCATTGGAATCTTTCAATGAGGAAAACGAAACTTGGGAAATCTTTATCAAACGATTGGAAAATTTTTTTGGTATGAAGAAGTTTGCAGGTACGCCTAATGAAATAAATAATAAAAAAACAGAATGGCTTATTCATACTATGGGCACAAAAACACTTCAATTAATGTACGATCTTTGCAGCCCAGATGATCCGAAAACAAAGCCCTATACTGATCTAGTTAAATTATTATCTGACCATTTACAACCAATGTCAAGCGTCATTGCTGAACAAAATCGTTTCTCTAAACGTTTTCAAAGAGATGAAGAAAGTATCACAGAATATATTACAGATCTTAAAAAACTAAGCAAAAATTGCGATTTAAAATGTCATAGTTGTAACACGTCAACCGTGGATGTTCACCTGAGACAACAATTCATTAGTGGACTCAAAAATCCAAACTACATTGAAAAACTTATACAGTTAAAGGCTCCTGACAATACTTTTGCCGAATGTGTTAAAGTAACATTAGCGATGGAGTCTGCTTACAAAGAAACCAAAGAAATTCAAAGTTCCACTACATTTAAAGACTCTCTTTCTTGTTCTTCGGATCAAAATCAAATTAAAGCACAAAAAGATATACGAAAGAATTCGAATTATCAAACAAACAGAATTAATTTCAAAAATAATAAAAAAAAGTGTTTCAAATGTGGAGATTTCGCACATTTAGCTAATACTTGTCGACATAAAAATTTAAAATGTACAGAATGTCATAGATTTGGACACCTGGCAAGAGTCTGCATGAAAAGTTCCTCATCTAATATCACTAGATTGCATACAGAACAAAACCAGATTAATTTCACAGAAGGACTCGATACGAAAATACATGAATATAACTCAGGAACAGATGGAACAGACATGTATTTCATAAATACAATTAAAGAGTTATTTTTACCTGAAAATACAAGAAAACCAAAAAAATATTTAATAAATGTTTATTTAAATTCAATACCAGTTAATATGGAATATGATACTGGGGCTGCAATTTCATCAATGTCACATGAAAATTTCAAAAAACTGTTTCCATTTATAAGAATTTTTCAAACTAATTTGCCATTAAAAACTTACACTGGCGAAATTATAAAACCTATTGGATTTGCAACTATGAAAGTAGAAATGGATAATTATTCCTTTGTTGGTAACCTTTACATTATCCCTAACAAGGTGGATTCAATTTTCGGGAGAGAGTGGATGAGATCCAGCGACGACGGTGTTTTACAAATAAATCAAAATAAAATATATGGAAGTCAAAAGAACGAGATAATTGATAATTTGAAGCTTAAATTTGAAGAAGTATTTAAACCTGAAATAGGAAACATTAAAAAAAATGAAGCAAATTTATACCTCAAAGATAATGCAATGCCAATTTACGTACCTGCAAGAAAAATACCCTATGCCATAGAAGAAAACGTCATCGAAGAAATTAGGAGACTGGAAGCCGCTGGAATAATTAGTAAGCTAGAATATAGCGAATGGGGAACTCCAATTGTTCCAATAATAAAAAAAGATGGATCAATAAGATTGTGTGCGGATTACAAAATAACCATTAATAAAGTACTTAAAGATGACAAATACCCAATGCCTAACGTAGAAGATATTTTTGCAAAGACGATGTTGGGTGGTAAAGTATTCACAACATTAGATATTCGAGAAGCTTACTTACATATGTCAATGAATGCGAAAAGTGCAGAGATTCAAGCTATTACAACACCGAGAGGAGACTACAAAGTAAATAGGTTAATGTTTGGTACCAAAGTTGCCCCAGCTATATGGCAACGGTACATTTCCCGAACGTTGGAAGATATTCCAGGAGTATGTGTATTTTTGGACGATATCAAAATTCAAGGATCAAATTTAACAGAAAATATCAATAGAGTTGAAATGGTTTTAAGACGATTACAGGAAGCAGGTTTGAGAGTTAAGATGGAAAAATGTAGATTTTTTGAAAAATCAGTTAAATATCTAGGGCATATTGTATCCGAAAATGGTTTGGAAAAATCCGATGAGAAAATAGAAGCTGTCAAGAATGCTAGAAGACCTACCAATTTAACTGAACTTAGAAGTTGGTTAGGAATGGTAAATTATTATGGGAAGTTTCTAAAAGACATTGCTAGAAAATTACATCCACTCTATAATTTATTACAGAAAGACGTACCATACCAATGGACAGAAGAATGTGAAGAAGTTTATAACTGGATAAAATTAGAAATCGTTTCTCCTCAAGTCTTATACATTTACAATCCAGATCTTCCACTTTCGTTAGCTACAGATGCTAGTCCATATGCTCTAGGAGCAGTGCTGTCCCATAATTTTCCAGATGGATCTGAAAAACCCATTGCATTCGCTTCAAGGAGACTTAATAAATCTGAAAAAAATTACAGTCAGATTGATAAAGAAGCGACTGCTATTTACTGGGGTGTCACAAAATTTTTTCAGTACCTTTACGGAAGGAAATTTATACTTATTACGGATCACAAACCTTTAGTTTCAATATTTAGTCCAGAAAAACATTTACCTTCAATGGTTGCTACAAGAATGTTACACTACGCTCAATTTTTACAAGGTTTTGATTTCGAAATTATTTATCGTTCAACTTCAAACCATGCCAATGCTGACGCTTTGTCAAGATTACCACAAGAATATGACGAAAATGGAAATAACTATAATTGTGACGATGTGAATGCTTACCAGTTACAGCAAATTATAAAATTACCTGTCACACACACCGAAATTGCCAAAGAAACACGGAAAGAAGAAAACCTACAAGACATTTATAATTGCTTATCACAGGGAAAAATCATCGAAAAAGAAGGTTTTATAGGAAGAGATGTTGAATTTTCTTTAGCTGATGGAGTTATAATGAAAAATAATAGAATAGTGATACCAAAAAGTTTACAGAACAGAATTTTAGAAGAATTACATGAAGGCCATTTAGGAATATTCCGAATGAAGAATCTGGCAAGATCATACGTTTGGTGGGTTGATATTGATAAAGATATAGAGAATATTGCTAAATCTTGTATCACCTGTCAATTATCACACAAAATCAACCTAAAAAGACAATACATTGTTGGGAGAACAGCAAAAGTCCTTGGCATAGATTACACATAGATTTTGCAGGTCCTTTTTACGGAAATTTTTTTTTGGTCCTAGTGGATGCATATTCAAAATGGTTGGAAGTAATACTAATGAATCAAATTACTGCTACAAAGACAATACGTGTTTTGAGAGATATTTTTGCTAGATTTGGTTTGCCTATTGTAATGGTAAGCGATAATGGACCAACTTTTACTTCGAATGAATTTAAGATGTTTCTAAAATCAAATGGCATTAAGCATCGGTTCTCCGCACCATATCACCCAGCAACCAATGGACAGGCGGAAAGATATGTCCAGACAGTTGAAAATGCATTAAGAAAAATGTCACAAGATGCTGGAGATATAAATTGCAAGCTAGCAAATTTTTTACTTCATTACAGAAAAACATCACATAGTAGTACAGGTGATCAACCTTGTATGATGTTAATGAACTTGGACATTCGTACCAAAATTGATTTAATTCGGCCAACTGAGATAACCGATATTCAAGATAACACGAATCTTTTTTATCCTTCACGAGAATTTCAGGTAGGCGATAAAGTGCGGGTACGTAACTATATTAATAATTCAAAAAAAATGGGAATTTTGCAAAGTAACTGAAAAACAAGGATTGCTACATTATTTAGTTGAACTTTATGATGGTAGAATCTGGAGAAGACATATTGACCAAATGGATGCTACAGAAGTCGATTTACAAAGGATGCCACCTAAATTTCCCGAGGGAAACATACCTCATACAATCAACCACAATAAAACTATGTCAACTACTACCACACACAATTATGATAACTCTGAGATCCCAAATACTACAAATACCAATGATATTGAAAACCAAATTCCGAGTTCCACTAGCAACAGAAATGGTCATCCAGAAACCGAAACGCAAGACATTACTAACATGGAAAATTCAAGAATGAATGAAGAAAGAGAAGAAGGCCAAAGTGAACAACATACCACTAAAATATACCGAAGATCAAATCGAATCCGGAAACCAGTTAAACGAATCGATTTATAGTTTTAAATATAGTTGGGAGGACTGTTGTGTATATGGACCGTATGGACCGATATACAAGTTGGTGCTCACATTGTTAGATTACCAGTTAAAAAGCATTGTCCACAGAACATATCACCTCTAGAAAAGTATCTGCAATGGTATGTACCGGTTATGAATTACGGCGCCCTCGTTGACTGAAAACCCAACTAATCGAGTATTCTTGACAAAAAGGCGAATTGATTTTTTTCATATATTTTTATTATTTTTGTATAATTTTTAATGTTCAACTGCATTTGGCTTACTGACTCTTCTTAGCTCTTTTCGCCTCATTTTTTTAAAAACTATGACTGGCAGGAAGTTTCCGATGTCGAACATAGTGCAAAAAGAGTTAGTATAAGTTAGCAAGAGACACGCAGCTATAGGTAGATCGCAAAGTAAATACGAATTATAAATACAAATACGAACGAAACGAAACAAACGAATAAATACAAAAAAATACGAACAAAAATTAGGTTTTTTTTCAACCAAAACTTTTTGAATTTTCACTTTAACGCGCGTGGAAACCGTGGGGTACAACAACACAATTTAAAAATTCAAATTTTGACTTTTAAAATGACAAAATAAATGACAAAACCAACCAACACAAATCACTGTCCACACCACAGATACCTGTAAATTTCTCTTATCTCCCGACAGTGTCGCCATCGTTGAATGAAAACCTAACTAAAAACCTTTGTCGCGATTCTTCCATTAGAGATATTTTTCTATAGGTGATATGTTCTGTGGCATTGTCAAAATATTTTGTCATTATAGTTACATTTAATAAATAGTATTCACACTAAAGTACTTCCTAATATAACATCTACTTTCTACATGCTTGATAGGGTATTAGAACTGGAGGAAGAGGTTCGCACTGCTATGGCCTTATTGAATGTGAGTAATCTTCCCATTATCTCAATTGAAGAATGGAAACTACTTCAACAGCTAAGAAGATGCTTAAAGCCGATGGAAGAAATAACGAAAATAATATGTGCTCAAAAATATGTCACTTTGTCATCAGTGATAATTTTAACCAAGGGACTTGAAAATATTTATTCTGAAATGTCAAATGAAAATCTTTTGCCATTAATTCAAGATATGGTCAGACTGTTTCTAAAAGGAATTTCGGATCGCCTGGGAGTAGGCGCCAAAATTCGGATTAGCTTTGGGAGCCGAAGGTTCTAGTTGCGGCCCTGACTAATATTGTAAATTGTTGTTAGTTCAGACTACAACGAACTATCAGAAGAAATAGATAATAATTGCCACTTCATTGGAATCTCTACTTTTTTGATTTCTGGGATTCCAAAACAAAAATGACGTGCCAAAAGGTCATAGAAAAAAAAACTTATCCAGAAGTCTTATGCATTGTCATTAGAAAAGACTACAGTTTCCAATTATTGATCTACATTTTTTTTGGATTTGCAAAATACCTACACTCCCTTGTACAATTATAAAAATGAAACAAAAACTAAAAAATAATAAAGCTTTATTAGTCAGCTGAAACCAAACTTCCTTTGGTACTCGAATAGAGGCCTTCAATTTCGTAGATATCAGACGCGCCGCTTCCTGTTCCTATTGAAATGTCAGCCACATCTTCTAGAACGGCTTCATCTGGTTCTGATTCCGAAGAACTAGACTTCTGAGCTGAATCTACAACAAAACATTTTAATATTGTAAATTGCAATTATTTTGATATTAATTACCTGGATCAGTAGAAGCATGTTCTGGAACGGTAACCAATTGGCAAGCTTTGTCCACCAAACTGTCCAAACAACGTTGCCAGTAAGTTGCGCAATTGATTGCCTCAGTTAAAGCTTGTAGGGTATTGTGGGCGAAAACTACATCAGTAATCAAGTGATCTTGCAAACATTTCGGACAGCAATTGACATTTTTGCCATGGAAACTGTCCAAAATCGTCTGAGATAGATCCTTGACGTGCGCACTGTACTGACGCCAAGCCACTATAGATTCTTCAGTTTCCCTAGTAAACTTCCTCCATTCAGATTTCTTTAAAACTTTGACTTTGCCATCTGATTCTTTTATGTCGCCACGAACTATCGAGGCAAACTCTCTGATTTTTTGAATTACGCAGCTCATCTAAAATATATTAGGTAGATGATTAGTTGGTAAATGGATGAATTGAGGTTAGTACCCATTGGGTCCAATTGTGAGCGTTTTGGGTGATTTCCAGAAGCCATACGGCCCAGGTTTTTAGGGACAAACAGCAAACTGTGTCCGGACTGTGTTCGGATACTTTCGGTGGTTTGTGGCCTTTGATTATTTTACCAGTAAGAGTTGATTCTTTTGGAAATTTAGTACTATCAGTTTTTAGTATTTGTCTTGACCTTAGTACGGCTCCTGATCCAGCAGGCATATGAGGTAGCGACTTTAGCGATCTCGGTTGCGCACCGCTTATTCCTCCTTCAGTTGCTTTTTTTTCTTCTTCATCGAGGTCTAAATATTTCAGCTCAGGCAAATTGAATTTTTTGTTTTTAATTTATTGGCTTACCTTGTACGCCTTCTTCTATTTCATCGGCATCAGTAAGTTCGTCTTTGTCTAGATTAATTTAAAATAAGATAATATTTTGATGTTTGCCGATATACTTGCCTTTATCATCTTGATCTATTGCGGATGACTCCCCGCCCTCTGGGAATTCTAAAAATTCTTTATCTTCATCTGCTATTGCTTGATCTAACATTCCTTCTTCTCCTTCTTCCCATTCTATTCCTTCTCCTTCTATTCCTTCTTCTCCTTCTTCGCCTTCTTTTCCTTCTTCGCCTTCTTTTCCTTCTTCGCCTTCTTTGCCCTCTTCTCCTTCTTTGCCTTCTTCTCCTTCTTCGCCTTCTTTGCCCTCTTCTCCAACACCTTCCTCATCTTTTTTGTCGTCATCAACAAATTCTTCTTCAGTTTCTGCAGTTGTATCTTGTTCGGTTCCTTCAAGCGTATCATCGCCTTTCTCTGGACCTTCACCATCATCAGGCTTTTCTTCCCCATCTTCGCCTTCACCGCCCTCAAGTTCGCTTTGTTCTCCTGCATCAGCCTTTTTACCCAGCATGCCTTCCAAAATAGCGGACACTTCGTGGATTTTCATTAAAACCTTATCATTGACGTTTTCTGGATCATTTTGCATTGCCCAATCGATCATTATTTGTTCCAGGAAGAACTTTTCATGTTCAGTTGGATACAATTTTTTCTTTAATTCTATATAAAAAAATCACATCATAATTACATGTTTTTTTTTTTAAATTAAATTCAAATAAACTACCTACCTTTAAGCCTATCAAGCACATCTCTATAAGTGACATCAGGCAATTGAGCTTCCTCAATGAAACTATCCAAAAATTCATCTGAACACTTGCTCAATATTTGTATAAGTTGTTCCAAAATATCTCCATTTAATCCAGACAAAGTCTCTTCTAAATCAGCCAGGCCTTCACCTTGACCAGGTTTTAGTATTTCTTGGGCTAAATCATCATAACCCAAACCTTCTTCGCCTTCAACCTTTTCAAACCACTCATCATCGTCATCAGCATTGAATTCATCTTGTTCGCCTTCGCCTCCCTTACCAAACCAACCACTTTTTTCTTCTTCATCGGTTGTAGACTCATAAGATTCGCCTTCTTCACTAGCTTCGCCTTCTCCTAAGGAAGAAATCGAAACTGGAGGAATATCATCAACGGAATCAATAGCTTGGACATCTACGAATTTGGTCAAAGTATCAATCCAAACAGCCATTTTATCAGAAACTTCAATGATGGTTTTTTTGTAGTGGTTCTTCGTTTTGCGGCTGGGTTTCTTTAGCTTTTTGGTTTGTTCCAGCCGGTCCAGGATTCCATCGGATAGAAGCATCTGTTTGTAGTTGAGGGCCAATAAGGGCTCGTCTTGGATGTAGTTCGTGATGTCGCCGGCAAGGAGTTCGGTTAGGTCTTTGAGCCAGCCGCAATCTTTTTGTTTGGCTTGTTGTTTGAGTTTTGCTGCGCGCTTCTTTTTCATTTTTTCTTTGCGGTTTTGTCTGGCAAACAAAAACGAATTAATATCTGGATAGGGATGAAGAAATACAGGTTCAAGAGTCTGAAATAGTCCTAAAGAAACGAGAAATTTAAGAAAAATTATCATTTTTCTTTTCTATTTCAGGCTTTTGAATGTATTTTCTCTCATATAGGCAGGGTAATAACTCAAACTTTGATCCTATGGCTTCAAATTAGCTGGAAACGGATCACGATTTTGATTTGGCTCTTGATTTGCTAGAAAATGTTTCCAAAAGCCAATCAAGAGCCGGTAATAGTCACATTTTTGATTATTACCGGCTGGATATTTTTTCCAGGGGGAAACAATAAGTCGGGAATCCGAAACAGTTTGATACTTGATTATTACTGGTTCCTGATTCGCTGGAAAATGTTTCTAGACCAGCCAATATTTCAATTTTTACCAAGAATAATTGAAATTCGTATTTCTTTTCCTACTTTGTTTTTGTTTCTTTCTTATTTATTGAGTTTCTTATATTGCTATCTCTTTATTATTCCAAGTTCTTGGCCACTCAAGCGCCAGGAATAATCAAAGTTTGCTTTACTATCTAATTTATCTTACTTTATCTCTGTCTTTTTCTTAATGATTAAGTTTCTTATTTTGCTTTCTCTATCCTATTTGCCTATTCTTTTTATTGGCCAGATACAAAAATTATATACAAGCTCGCTCAAGTACCGAGGATAATTAAAATTCGTGCTATTTTTTTTTCTTTTCGCACTTTATTTCTATTTCTTTCTTATTCAATGAGTTTCTTATATTGCTATCTCTTTATTATTCCAAGCTCTTGGCCACTCAAGCGCTAGGAATAATCAAAGTTTGCCTCTATCTATAGGTTTTTTATGTCATAACCATCTTATATTAAGGTTATATTTAGGATGACGTCATCGAACAAGGACAGACAATAATGTCAATGCCTTTTTTTTTCTTATAATTTACTAGAATGTCATGTGTCAATAATAGGCATGTACCCGATTTTTTTTTCCTTGGCCTATTGAATTAGACTATCCAAGATGCTGTCAAACTTAAATTAAAACACAAACCCTTTGTTTGCTTGTCAAAGTCATGTGTTTTGGTTTTTGGATGGGCTTTGACTTGCTTTGACTATCCAAAGTGCTGTCAAATTTGAATTAAAATGTCCGCCGCCAAGAGGCACACAAACCCTTTGTTTGCTTGTCAAAGACACATGTTTTGGATAGGCTAATAATATTTTGCTTGCTTTATTCCCGATGTGCTTTTCTTTTTTTTTTCTGCGTTCCCTAAAATCTGTTTTTTTTTTTAAGATAAAAGTCAAAATGACATTATATTGGCAATACAATGTAAAATTGTCAATGCTTTCAAATTTTTATGTAGAAAAGGCTTGTGTTGCCAACATAGTTACTAAATTTTTGACTTGGGGAATTATCTTTAAATAAAAAACAGACTTTACTTTTCTTATATTAATTTTTGAAAACGGAACTACATTCAAACAAAATCCTTTCTGACGTCATAGAGGGTTCTGCTCATGCGCATAACTGTTTTAGGATGTTGACAGTTTGTGTGTTTTGGATTAATATAGAATAATTATCATTTAAAAAAAATTGAATAAGCATGCAGTTTATTATATATACAGGGTGTATATTTTAAGTGATACCACTATTATTGCTATATCCGAAACGGTAAAACCTACAAGGTCGGTTAAATTAGAAAAAAGTTGCCTTTTTTGATGCCCATTTAAGATTCGTTTACAGTGTTGCCAAATTCCTTTTAGTTTCTGAAATACCGGTTCATAACTAGGTCCGAATTAAGGTAAAATTTTGGTAAAAATCACTGATGATCACTTTCTGGATCAGAAACGTCGACCAATAATACTTAAGAGGTATATCGTTGAAAAGGGAATAAAGGGTGCTTTCTTAAAATGTCATAAAAAATCCAGGTCCGTATTTAAAAAAATGAAGTTGATGATGGTATCATAATCACGAAACGTCGGATTCGAAATTTGAAGATGCCCTGTTGTAGAGCGAAAAAAATTATAAAACTTCCAAATTTAAATTGTGTCCCGAAAATAAATAGTTTTCGAAATATTTGATAGAATATTTTTAGTCGTTTTTTAGAAATCGCCCTGTATTTCATAAACTAAAAGGAGTTTGGCAACACTGTAAACGAGTCTTGAATGGGCATCAAAAAAGGCAACTTTTTTCTAATTTAACCGACCTTGTAGCTTTCACCGTTTCGAATATAGCAATAGTGGTATCACTTAAAATATACACCCTGTATATATGAAACAATAATATCTAGATGCAATAATCATATGATTAATGATTTCTGGAAATATATTTTGAATAAAGATAAGTAACTTGGCAACATTGACTGGCGGTGCTGCCAATGTTATCAGCTGAAAGCTGTTTTGTTTTTGTTTTTTTATCAATGGTTTTTTTATATCACATGACATAACCTTAAAAAAATCATAATTTTTGTCATTTGCTTTGCGTAAAATCTGTTTTTTTTTTAAAGATAAATGTCAAAATGACATTATGTTGGCAATACAATGTAAAATTGTCAGTGCTTTCAAATTTTTTATGTAGAAAAGGCTTGTGTTGCCAACATAGTTACTAAATTTTTGACTTGGGGAATTATCTTTAAAAAAAAAAAACAGACTTTATTTATGTGGTGAAAATCAGTGTTTTATATTTATTTCCATTATTATCAATAATAGTTAACAAATAAAGTTGGAAAATGGATAAATTTTATTACAACACAGGATATTCGAATGGCGGATGTTGAGTCAAAAAACCTGGCAGCATCGCATGTAATAACATTGTTCCCAAGGGTGATACACACTATACTACTACAGGATGGCTCATCCTCATAAGGCCTGTGTGTAACAAATCCCCCCTTTCCCAAACAACCAGTTGTGACGTAAGCAGCATGACGTTTCTCGCCTTAACGTAAGCTGTTTAAACAGCTGACGACTTAGTTATGACGTCGGCAATGGTTGGAAACCAAAATGGCGGCGATTACCAAAAACGAGGCCGATAAGCACTCTTTAGAGAGTGTATTCTCCTTGCATTTTAACCTCGTTTTTATTCTAATTGGTGACTTCACCGATGAGTTAGCTATCTTTGTTTAGTGAATGAAAAATGACAATGACCGACATAGAATGGTACGGAACTCTTGGTAAAATTTGATGAGAATAAGATCGCAGGATTTGTTGATTGTTGCTTTCTCACTATCGATTATTTAATCGTAGTAAAAATTATGGTAGATTTCGATGATTATCCGGGTCATTGGTAACACTGGTAGGAAACATGCCCATTCTGACGACAATTGAAAATTACGAAATAAAAATGTTTATACGTCGCGCGCCGTTGCCAAACAAAAACATCTGAAATTCCCCTACTTTGAATGCGTTAAAAAGTACTTTTAATTTTGTTAAGTTGGCAGCAGAAATTTACCAAATGTGACGTCATCCTAAATATAGCGTAAAAATCCTATGATGGCCGAGTTCGTTTTTGTCATCTTTTTCGTCGATTTGCTACGAAATTTTGACAGGCACGTGACTGGATAAGACAGTTCCAGTTTAAAAAGCACGTGCCTGTCAAAATTTCGGAGCAAATCGACGAAAAAGATGACAAAAACGAACTCGGCCACTATATCCTACTTTATCTCTGTCTTTTTCTTAATCAATAAGTTTTTTATGTCGCTTTGTTTGTCCTACTTCTCTATTTTCGGCTTTTTATTATCCAGATACAAAAATTACATATAAACTCACTCAAACGCCGGAAATAATTAAAATTCCTGTTAATTTTTCTCCACTTCTCACTTTGTTTCTGTTTCTTTTTTATTTATTGAGTTTCTTATATTACTGTCGCTGTCTTTTTATTATTCGAAGCGCTTGGCCACTCAAGCGTCGGGAATAATCAAAGTTTGTTTAACTATCTAATAATCCTACTTTATCTTTCCTTCTGTCTTTTTCTTAACCGTCAGGTTTATGTCTCTTTTTTTAACCTACTACAGGGCCGTAGTCAAATTTGTGATAGGGCATGACAAATTTGACATAGGGCATACACTACTCGCCCCCCCCCCCCCCCACCTTTAAATTATAGGTAAACAATCTGGTGGTAATGGCGCCGAAGGCAAATTTTTCAATAAATAACATCTCTGGCAATTAAACAAAATGGCGCTGATTCTCGTGCCGTCTTGAACCATTCGCATCAAGGATAAACATACTAAGGGCGGGTATTATAAAACTGCTTTGACAGTAAACTTGAAGTTAACTTTTTGAATTACAGAATTTCCAGAAGTTAACTTCAAGTTAACTCTCAAAAGTCAAAGTAGCTAATAGTGAAATCCATTCGTAAGTTCAGTGCGCACTGAGTGGATTCGTTCCTCTTCTACTAGCATGTAAAAGAAAGTGACAGAAATGCATATTTTTTTTGCACTTATTTCACCAATGGTTTTCGCCATAATTACCACTACTATGACAGGATAGCTTATCATCAAAGGCCTGTGTATATCAAATCTCAAGCACCCCATCACGCCAAAAAACCAGTGATTACGTAGGCAGCGTGTCGTCTCTCGCTTTGACGTAGGGTGGTTATGATCCCATGATAACATTTTTCATCATATAAATGTATATTCTAAACTACAATCGTTGGCGCAAACAGCTGACGACGTAGTTAATGATGTCGTCAATACTGTTACACCAAATGGCCGCAATTTCCACAAATGAGGCCGATAAGCAATCCTAATGTAGTAGTGTGTATTATCCTTGCATTTGCACTCTATCGAAACGAAAAACTTCCTCTATGTAAACGTCAAACATTGTTGCATACATTTAGGAGTTTTCGGAAAATGATCATTTGAAAGATAGGGCATTGCTCCCCAATACCCCCCCTTGGCTACGGCCCTGAGCCCACTACGAAGCTTGAAATAGTTAAGTGACGCTGTGGATTCTTGGCTGGAATTCTATGACTCCGGCTCTTCGAGCTCGTATAACCTCGGCCCTTC